GCAACCCGTCTTCGAGCCCGCCCCACGACGTTCTCCTTGCGGTCGGGAACTGTTGGATAGCGCGTCGCTCCGCCAGTTCTGGCGCACCACGATTCGGCGCGACAGGCTACTCAGTTCCCAGTCCCCGCGGCTTCAACCTCGCGAGCCCTTCCGAGCATCCCGCCCCGGGGAGCGGAGCGACAGGCTAGCCGCTTGCAGGGCACAGCGTGTCGCGGGGGCCGCCGAGGCGACATGCTAGGCAAAAGTTTCCGACCGTATCCATGCCTGGACGGAGGATTCGGTAGCACACCTTTGGAGCCTTGTGTGCCCCTGCCGTCCCGTCTTTGGCGTGCGCCAGCGTCGACTCGCGTCTGGTAGCCGACGGGACAGCGCCGATGTTGCGCCGCTGAGCGTCGACTCGTGCTGATCTCTTGCGCCGGCCAGCGTCGAGCAGCGTCGCTTCGCAGGGGCCTGCAAGACGGCACGGGGCGCTCCCGCGAGCTGCCACCGCGGGGAGGGCGGAGGACGCGCGGCGCGGGCGCCACCTCTGCGCCCGCCCCTGGCGGCGGGGGAGGCCGGGGTGCCCGCCGCCTCCGGACGCCGCCAGACGGCGGCGTCCGCGCCCGAGGCGCCGCACGGCATGCGCGCTGGCATTTGGATCGTCGTCGGCGTCGTCGTCGTCGTCGTCGTCGTCGTCGTCGGCGTCGTCGTCGGCGTCGTCGTCGTCGTCTGCGGCGGCTTTCTGTTGGGGGGCGCGCGCCCGCCTCGGGCCAGGTTCGGGGCCCCGAGCGGCAGGGCGCCAGCGTGCGACTGTGGGGCGCGAGGGCCGCGCCGCGGGGCGAGTCGGTCGGGATTCGGGGTCACCGCACGGCCTTGGGAGAGGAGAGGAGAGGAGAGGAGAGGACGTTCTCCGAGGATGCCTCGGGCGAGTGTGCCGGAGCTGACGAACGCCATAGACGTAAACTTTTGGCGCTGCGCGCGGGTTTCTCGGATTCGCGCTGGGACCCCCCCTGGCGGCGCCTCCGGCGCCGCCCCTGGCGCGCTTCGCGCGCTGGGGAGGGGGGTCCGGCGCAGATCCAGGAAATCCGCGCGGAGCGCCAAAAGATGATGTTTATGTTTTTTTTCTCTTCTATTGGGACTCGGGTCGTTCCCCGAGGACGTCTCGGGCGATTGTGGCCTCCGGAGTCCCCAAGACCGTGCGGTGAGGGACCGTGCGGTGAGGCCCTTCGGCATGTCGAGGCCACCGCGCAGTCGGTCACCGCGCGGTGTTGGGACCCCCACGTGGCCCTTCGCCGGCCAGCGAGGAGGAAGGGTGGACGAGGAGGGCGGGCGAGGGGGGGAGGGCAGCGGAAAGCCAAAGGAGGGCGGGCGCGAGGCGGGGGATCCCCCGCATCGGCGCTTCCTCGCGCGACCCTCCGCCCGCTGCGCAGCTCCACCTGCTGACGAAGCACGCAGTCGGCCACAGGGGCAGCGACCCTGACTTGCCCGCGGGCGCCGGCGCCGCCACCTGCCAGGCTCGCGAGCCCGGGGGCAGAAAAAGTGGGGCGCGAGCCCTCCTCCCTCCCACGTGCTCGTCCTCCCTGTCTGGCACCCCCTTGCGTCGCGGGGTCGGCCGTGCCCTGGAGCCAGGCGCGTCGGCTCTGCATTCGCATGGACAAGCTCCGCGCGCGCCAATAGCGCAAGAGACCTCGCACAAGATCACACCCACCCGCTTCCAATCGCTTCCACTCCCCTCCTCCTCCTCCTTCTCCTCCTTCTCCTCCCGCTCCTCCTCCTCTTGCTCCTCCTCCTCCTCAGCCTCCTCCTCCTCCTCCTCCTCCTCCTCCTCCTCCTCCTCCTCCTTCCCCCTCCTTCCTCCTCTCCCCTCCTCCTCCTTCTCCTCCCGCTCCTCCCGCTCCTCCCGCTCCTCACCTCCTCCTCCTCCTCCTCCTCCTCCTCTCCGCCTCCTCCTCCTCCTCCTCTTCCTCCTCCTCCTCCTCCTCCCACTCACACCCCATCTCCCTTCCCCGCCTTGTTCTCCTCCGTTTCCCTCCGTCTCCTCGTCGTCGTCCACCTTGCCGCATATCCTTCTCCTTCTGGCTCACTCTGCCCGCTTCGCTCCGACAGTCGATCCCTCTGTCCCCGTACCCCCCACTCTCCCCTCCCCCACTATCACCCTACGAACCCCTCCCTTTCCCCTCGCCCTGCTCCTCTCCCTTCCCTTCACTCCTCCATATCCTCCTGGTCCTCCCCTCGTCGTCGTCCACCTTGCCGCATATCCTTCTCCTTCTGGCTCACTCTGCCCGCTTCGCTCCGACAGTCGATCCCTCTGTCCCCGTACCCCCCACTCTCCCCTCCCCCACTATCACCCTACGAACCCCTCCCTTTCCCCTCGCCCTGCTCCTCTCCCTTCCCTTCACTCCTCCATATCCTCCTGGTCCTCCCCTCGGTTGCTCCTCCTCCTCCTCCCCCGTCCCTCCTCCCCTCCCTTTATCCATCCCTCTCGTTCCTCCTGCTGCTCGCCATCTTTATCCTCCCCGTATTCCTCGTCCTTTCCCGTATCCAGCTAGCGCTCGCCACACCTCGCAGTCGCGTCGTATACATAGAACGGGGGACTAGGGGCAGGGATCTCTGGGCCGGAGCCTCGACTGGCGACTGGTGTGCCAGGAGTCTTGTTGAGCCCGCAAGTGGCCCCCAATTTGGCCCAAGATGGCTTCACAGAGGTTTACGGGAGCCCCAAGATTGTTCAAGAGCGCCCCAAGACAGCCCCAGAGGGCCCCCCCAAGAGAGCATCAAGAGGCCAAACTGGTCTATTTCCTTTGTGTTCTTGGAGGTGTTTAGCGTTCTCGCTTTTTCGGTTGTCTGACCGCCCACAGCGGCCCGAGCGGCCCCCCAAGACGCCCCAAGACCGCCCCAAAGTCTTCCAAGAGGGCCCCAAGATAACCCAAGAAAGCCCCAAAGAGGCCCAGGAGAGCCTCAGGGCCCCAGTAGGGCGTCCACGATGGCCCCCAGGCAGCCCCAGAGCCCCCAAAGACGGCCCAAGAGGATCCCAAGACGGCCCTGGCGGTCCAGTGGGCCTCCCGAGTCGCTTCAATACGGCCGAAGTGCCCTTCAAGAGGGCCCCCAAACAGCCCCAAGATGGCCCAAGGGAGCCTTGAGGCAGCCCAGGGGAGCGGAGAGCCTCAGGAGAGCGTCTAACATGTCCCTGCTTCCCCAATGATCTTGCTTCTAGGATGCTCGCCCACGCCGTTCCCGAACACATGGGCGGACGCTGCGTGCCTGTGATGCCCGACCAACGGGGTAGATCGTGACACAGTTCCATGTGTGTGATAGAGTGTGCGTACAGGACAGGTGACGAGCGACGCTCGCCGCGGGTTGGCTCCAAGGGGCTCCTTCTGCCAAAGGCTGAAAAAAGCGTCATCGTCCACAAGTGGTTGCATGATGGTCTATTCCTGGCAGTCCCCTCCTCCCTTTCCACTTCTTCCTCCTCTTCATCCTCCTTGTCCCTCTCCCGATGCCGCGTGATGGCTCACAGCTGCCAAGTTTGAATCCGCCACCATGCCGATCGCCAACCTTTCCGACTACACGAAGGACATCGGGGGTGGCGATGGAGCCAGTGGGAAAGATCTTCCACCTTACGGCGCCTCTGCTCCTCTGCGCACGCCTCTTGTATTGGTGGAACAGGGGCGGACGGGCCTAGGTGAGTGGAGTAGCTGGATGACGATGAGGGGCGGGGGGCAGGATGAGGACGAGCAGGAGGAGGAGGAGGAGGAGGAGGAGGAGGAGGAGGAGGAGGAAAAGGAAGGGGAGGAGGAAAAGGAAGGGGAGGGGGAGGATGTTTAAGGCAGGGGGAGGAGGAATAGGATGGGAAGGCAGGATGAGGATTATATACTGATGCCGATGACGATGATGATGCTGCAGCTGATGATGATGATGATGATGATGATGATGATGATGCTGCGGAAGAGGATGATGATGTGGATAGTCCAGGAGAGGTGTGAGCGCAAGAGGAGCAACATTTCGAATTTCTACAACAGCGAAGTACTGTATCGCAAACGCCGCGGCCATCGGTTCATATCAAGTGCTGTGTTGCTCCACGCGTGCAGCCCAGCACAACTGCGACATCATGTTCTTCAGGCGGTGCCAAGGATTCCACACGAAATCTCCGTGGAACGAGGCCCTTGGGAAGGCAAGGAAGCTGTTTTCTCGTGGAGGCGTCTCGTATCCTTGTGCTGGGTTGAATCCCTGGCTCGATCGAGGTAACCCAGAGCAATGCACTTTCCAGTGGGCCAGATGGTATGAGTTTATAGATCGCTGCCTTCTCAGTCCTCTTGCCTTCGTCCTCGCTTTGGGGCTTGCCAGGGCCATTGGGAGGCGGGGAGGGATGGGGCTGTCGCGCGCCGTTTGTAGGTCGTCTCGGAGTCGTGCCAGTGTCCTGGCAGTTCTTGGGTTTGCATCTGGGCCGTTTGGATGTTGTCTTGCAGACGTGTCTCGGGAGTTGTGAAATTTCCTTTTGGACCCAGGAGATCGCGCGCATTTAATACAACTTAGATGAAATGATAAGCGAAGTGAGGAACGAAGTAGTTCTTATTGAAGAGGTTTACGGCGAATCACTGCCACCCCTTGCGTGTTGGAAGCGCCTGTGAGGGCGAATGTTGGGCTGAAGTCTTGCCAAGCTATCGGGCTATGTGTTTCCCCAGCCATAATGGAAACCGTTGGGGGAACACTTAGGAGGAAAAGCGAGGAGGAGGATGGGGAGGAAACGGAGGGAGACGAGGAAGAGGAGGCCTCTTGCGGGCCTATTGGGGGCTTCCCCGGAGTTTGTTGGAGGCCTACAGGTGCTTGTCAGGGGGTCTCCTGGGGTCTCTCGGGGCCTTGCGGCACTCTTGGGGCCATTTGGAGTCCTTTTGGGCCGTCCTGGGAACCTCTTGGCCCGTTTTGGAGCCCTCTTGGGGGTGCCTGGGGCCGTCCTGAGGATATCTTGGAGGCTCACGGGCCGTCTGAGGCTTTCGGAGAACCGAACAATTGCGAGAACGTTGCAAGCACTGAGCATGTCTTTCATATTCGGCACGCCAAGCATCCCTCTGGCAAGAAACAGGGCCGTGCCTGGGTTGTGGACCAGAGGCCTCGTGGATGATTGTCGGGGTCTCGTGCGATGCATCTCGGGGGCATCTCGGAGGCCTGTTGATGGGCTCTTGGTGCTTCGTCGGGGCCTCTGGAAGGCCTCTGAGGGGGGCCTCTTGGAGCCTCTTGGGCACCCTTGGGGGCTTGCTGGGGGTCTTGAGGGGTATCCTGGAGGGATAGGCTCCGAAGGCCAGTTCGAGTTTCCCCTCTTGGGCCCCCCTCTTGGGCCGTTTTTGGGGGCCTCCTGGGTTGTCTTGTACCCCTCTTGGGACATATTGGGCCCCTCTTGGGGTCTCTTGGGGCATTTTGGGGCTCTCTTGCGGTTTTCTTTAGGCTCTTTTCTGGCTCTTGGGCCGTTTTGGTGCGATCTGGGGCCGCTGGGGTCGTCTAGTGCATTCGAAAGCGAGAGAAGGGAACGCTACAATGTGTGAATTAGCCTTCGGACAACATTGGATGCTGTCTTTTGGGCTCCTCTTGGAGGTCTTCTTAGAGCCCTCTTGGCGTGACTTGGGCGCGTTTGGGGCGCCTCTTGGGCCGTCGTGTGGCCATCGTTGGCCGCCTCGAAGCGGTCTTGAGCCGTCTCGGTGCCCTCTTGGACCGTCTCGGAGGAGCCTGTGGACCCTCTAGTCCCCCTGTCCTGGGGTTCTGTCGTCTCTGGTAAAGTGCAGCTGGGCGCCCCAAGGGTCACACGACACGCCAAATACTATCCAGGACCTGGGCCTCGTGTCCATTAGACGAGTATTCATTTGTCAGCATTGAGGATCTTAGAGGTCTTTCGGGCACTCCACTCAGTGCCTCGCGCCATCGCAAAGACGGACTCCGCATTTGCGGAGTAAGGAATTGCTCTGCTGCGCTTTACGTTGCTTGTTTTCTAATGGCAGTGTTCTGTTTCGAGCTGCCATTGCACTCTGCCGCGACTCAGGGTGCCAAGTTGCTGAAGCCTGGGCCACGCACCCTGAAGCCAGGGGGCAGGCGGGTCGTTCTCCTTCCGCACCTAGCAGCAAAATCGGGACGAGGGCGGTTCATGGTCTTACGCCACCCCTAGGTGCGTTGCTGGGATGGGTTTCCGCGGCGTGGATTGCTGTTGTCCTCGGTGCTGGCATTGTCGTCTTCGTCGTCGCCCCACGAGCCACTCCACGACCAACCCCCGCGACCCACCCGCGAACCACCCGCGACCCACCCACGACCCGCCCCACTACCCTCCTTACGCCCCGCCGACGAGCCACCTGCACCCGCGACTCAATGCACGCCTGCGGCGGGCAGCTGTGACTTTGAAGGTATGCCCCGAGGGCATATAGTGTATCTTGCTCGGCCGCCGCCGCCTCGGCTCGAGGCGGCGCCGCCCGATTTGCCAGAGTCGAATGTGGCGCTTGGTTTGAGGCGTGTGGTGGGAGAAAGGGCACCTTTCCCATCCCATCGCCACCGCCATTGTTCCTTCCTTCTCCACACTCTACCTTACCATGCAATGGTGACCCCATGTTCGACTTGATCGCAAAGCTGTCGCAGCCGCGGCAGCTCTGCTCTTCTTCACCTTCGGCGTGGTGGAGTACAAGAGCGAGGGCGTCACCAATGCG